CCCCAGTTTTCAGGTTGGCGATTTGGTTCTCATTATCTTGGATGAAAGGCATGACAACTATGTGTTGTTTACTGTTAGTCCAACCTTGTATTTCTTGCATTCGGAGTCTCTTGCTGCACTGGATCTCAAACCAGGTGAGTGTGGTAAGTGTCAGATTTCTTCTAATTATTATCTTCTCTTACAAATAGCACTTGTAATGTTCTAACACTTAATCAGTGATTTTATACATATATATGTGATAAATACGAGAAATGTGTATTACAGGTAGTTGTCAGCTACCTTTGTAGCTTTTGCTGTTTGTTAAAATGGGAAATATTTTTCAAGGCAGAACATTTTAAATCAAAAATTTATGTAGGTGTTAATGTCTTGGAAAAAAAAAAAATCTGTCTTCAACGTAGATTGTAAAAAAGAGGGAGCAAATACCATTTTTTGTGCACAGAGTATGTGTACTTGTCTCTGGGGAAAACATTCCCATCAGGCTGCTTTAACTATACAGTAGCATGAATAGTAGTGTGTAATTGTGTAGATATCAGACCTATTTTTATGTGCATTTTTATTTTGTCTTCTTTGAGGAATGTAAATATAAAAGTTCTGTCAAAACTGCATACTGAGTTCTCATTTTTTAACACCTGATTTTATTATTGAAGATTGTCTTTGGATAAAACTTGTTCTCATCTTCTGCAGAGAGACTGGAATTTATGAATCAAAATACATGTCTGAAATAAAACGTAGACAACAGTACAGAGGGATTTGCAAGCAATGTTTTTGCCAAATTTAAGTGGTATTTAGCAGGGCTGATAAGTTTTCAGAGAACACTTTCTGTATGCTTTATGTGCAAGTTGATGGCAGATTTGCTTTTTTCTCCCTTAATCTTGAAGGATTTTTCTTGGCTCTTTTTGGCAGCTGTGTAAACGTAGCTGAATTGAAATACCTTTCTAAATGAGGAAAACTGATAATGCTTTACACTAAACTATGAGCTGTGTGAAATAAATGTAAATGTCTTCAAATGATCATCTGTGTATTTTTTGCAAGCCCACTTATGTTCCCAACTTTGCAGGCGTGTCTAAGAACAGCATCAAAAGAAAATTTTGTATTAATTCTGATTAATCAGTGAAAGTTTCTACATGTTATTGCCAGTCCTAAGCGGTCAATTTTTTTTCAGTGAGCAGACTCACTGCAGATTTCAGTTATGATGAAAGATGATAGATCTTAAATAATTGTGTAGCTTCCAGAAGACCACAAAGCCCTAACTGAATTCTGAGACTGCTGAAGGATCTGTGCCATGTGTCATCTGCCAAGCATAAGGGGAAAATACCTATCTTACCTACAGATGTAATACATTCTGAGCTATAACTTTAGTAGTGCCACATAGCTGTGTGAAATATGGTAGATTTTCTTACTGTTGGTTTACATATATAAGGTAAAAGCCATGTCAGTTTATATATTACTGTGAGTACATAATTCACTGACCTGTCTGTTTTCAAATGGACTTAGGATTGCTCCATTCTTTATCACTTGCTAACCAGTTAGTCTCAAGTTTGAGAAAACTGCACATAAAACAAACATGAAGACTTAGCATTTGCTCAAAGAACACATTTGTCTCTGCCTCAGTATTTCAGGCAAATATGTCTTGATTCTATTCATGCATCAAGTGGGATAAATGAAATCCAGAACGCTAGTAGTATTTGTGATAGTTTAAAATTGGTGTGGACCTAGGTACTGCAAATTATTATTTTAAGGGCTGCCAAAATGTTACATCCAAACTTGACCTTTTATACCAGTATATGTGTATCAAGTTAATAGTTCTGTATAGATCCACCTAAAGTTTTGAGTCATGGATCTAGGCTATCATAGGTTGTCTCTGCCTACATTAAGATTGCTTAAAATGATATGACAACACTGAAATTGGTTGATAGCTGCATGGGTTTTGTGCTGTCCCTTATCTTCAGGATATGGAATTTTTCATTTGCAAATGTAAGGAAAAAACCCTGCATCCTTCTCACTATCTGTTAGATCAATGAGGCCTGTCAGCCAAGCAAATTCAAATCTTTTTTAAAAAAAAGTTATGTAATTTAAATATTAGCTGTAGAGTATTCAGGTCAGATGTGAATCCTGATTTGTATGAGTGTAGAGTAGAACAGGATCTACTCCACTAACCAGTAGACAGTTTAGCCTTGAAGGCTAGTAAAATTTCTAACTCTGGTTCTTTAGTGAGTCATGTTCTAGTCTAGATAGAGTACCTCATAAATAGTCATGATTAGAAGAGCATTGATTTGAATATTATGCAGAGCATATGTGATCTGTTCCATCCATCTGTTTTCATGCTTTCTTTATGCTGTGATTAGTAATAGTTAGAAAAGAGCAAAGCTAGTAAAATGGATGTAATTTCTTGGAACACAGGACAGATAGAGTTTTCCTTACTATTACAGAAACAGGTATAAGCTGAAAGTTTATTTATACCCACTGTTGCTCTTTTGATCTGTCAGTTTGTTATTGAGGTTTTAACTTTCCTCCTTTCCAAACAGTATCAGGTATGCTCAGAAGATTGCAACCAAAATTGGCAACATGTAGTGCTTTAAAACTGTTACTTAGGAGTAACTAATTTCCTTCACTAGTACAGAAAAATAATCACACATTTCATTAAGGATAATTACTGACTATAGAAGACTTTCTGTCCTTTGAAATACTTCAAGAAATTCTTGCCTTAAATCAGACCAAAAGGTCAGGTTTGGTTGGTGGGAATAATTTTGAATCATTAAATAGATTTTGGTTTTGATTTGCTATTGTCCTCTGTAATACTAGCTATTAAAACAAAATTTGAACTGAAAAATCAAGTTTTTGTTTGAAAATGCCAGTGGACTTTCTTGACACCTGAATTGACTTAACCTTTGTTCATTTATTTGAAGAAGTGTTTTTAAGAATTTCTGCTTTTACTGAAAATGGGATGTAATATCCTTTTACCTGTAGTTGTTTATCTAAAATAATAAATATATGTTTTTTTCAGCATCAGGTGCATCTAGGAGACCTTGGGTGCTAGGAAAAGTGATGGAAAAGGAATACTGCCAGGCAAAAAAGGTAAGGAAATAGTAATAGAAATTTATCCAAGGTTAATAGAGAAGAAAATCTGTTTTAATGTTTGCAACAATTGTGACAAGTACCCTTTGCATAACAAGTTAGATGAAAATTCTCCTAAGTTCTGCTATTTCTGCTGTTCCTTTGAGTCAGTGAATAGCAAGAGAAGGGAAACTAGAAAACAGTTGAGTGGGCAGAGGCTTGGGTAGTTGCATCCACACAGCCCAGAACCTTGCCAGACTCCCAAGGGTCTTGGAAATGCTGAGGGTTTCTGCTTAAATATATAAAAATCAGAGTAATTATCGCACATTTCTAATTTGATTTTTTGTTGTTTGCTTTTTTTTGTAGGCACAAAACAGATTTAAAGTTCCTTTGGGTACAAAATTCTACAGAGTGAAAGCAGTACCATGGAACAAGAAAGTATAACACAGCAAAATTTTGGTTCATTGTCTCCATTCTTTTTTGACTTGTCCTTCAGTGCTCGTTCATCGCTCCAAATACCAGGCCATCTTTTTATACTGAGGTCATGTGACAAGATCTGTCATTCATGTACTGCTTTTACTTTTTAACAGGTGACATTTTAGAAACAAAAAATTCATCAAAAACTTTGGCCCTAACAGCTTCATATTTTAATTTTTTTTTTTTACCCAGATAACTTTAAGAGTGTGGACCAAATGAGTTCATTTTCTCAAAGGGCAACCACATGGTTTGTTAGCCATGTTAATTGCCTGTTAAATATACATTAGCTTGTATTTAGATGTTAAATGTTAGTTACCATTATTACCAGCATACGTCCTTTTGTGAAATCATTATCAAAGTACTTGCACTCTTTAACAGATTCTTTATATGTGTAAAATTCATCAACTATTTAAAGAGGAGTGTTCATTGCATGCAGATAATCATGTAATTTTTCTTCAACATGAGTTTGCCTCAGTAGATGAATAAAAATAACTACTGCAACTTGTTTCATTACATGAAAATGCTCTTTAATGTTAAAAAACCCTTGTAATTTGATAGACTGATTTTGAAAATCAGTCACAGTTAGATCTGCAATCTTCAAAAGCACTTTCGATGGATTGATCACACAGATTCTGAAGGGAAGATACCTGTGCCGTTTGTTCAAAGTGAAGCACTTGTTCTTCCCAACAAAACAGAAATCTTGTATTAATCTATTTAGAAAAATCATATTGATGAAATTGTATTTCATGGTTGAGTTTCAGGAAAAAACTCATTGTACATTAACCATACAAGAGTCATTTAAGTAACAAATTATTGTAATTGTAAAAGACATGTAGAATTTTAAAACAATAAAGATTTGAAACTGTATGTGTGCGAAGTATTTGTGTGCCTTTTAAATACTATCTCTGATATTTATTTCATGTTAATCTGTTGCAGCTTCTTTGTGATTCCTCCAGCAGCTTCATTACGTAGAAATACCTAAATTTTCTGCGAGAGGTAGTAATGTTCAACAACATTTGGAGATTACAAGAATTACCTTGTAATGGTCAAAAAGAATTTAAGTAGACAAATTTTAATTTTGTCAGTACATTAAATGGATAAAGGACATTTTTAAAATAGTTATACTGGCTACATTTAATGTAGTCTTATTTTATTTTTAATAACAGTATGAAAGGATGTACTATAAATGTGTAGTCAATGGAAAGTGAATTTATGGGTTCAACTATGAGCTTATGCCTAGGACTTAATCCATAGAGTCAATCAACCGTGGTTTATCTTCAGAAGGTGTGGGGTGGAGGAGGAAAAAGATAAAGAAATGATCACATGAAAATGTTAGTGGTTCTGCCCATATGTTTCTAATAATATTCCTCCAGACTAACCAGTCCACTTGAATACCCAGAAACTTCTGTATATGCTTTATTTAAAATTTTGTTCCATAACAATTTTAAGTTTAGATTTTTATGAAATGCATGGGCTTGTAATTGTATCACATCTTTGATTAAATAAATCTAAGACAGTTGATCTCTGGAAAACAGAATGTCATTTTGTCAAGTTGCATTCTTACCTGATGGTTAAAGTTACTAGCTGATGTTCTAACTTTTTTAAATTAGTTCTCAGAAATGCCTTTATTCTACAAGATCATTCGTATCATGGTTGAGTACTGCTCCGTGTCAAATATTAAATAACATAGATCTGTTGGACAGGTTTAAAGCAAAAAGAACCCAAACTAAAGCAACTACCTATGATGCAATCTTTTTCAATAATCACTAATTTTTGACCTTCAGCTGAATGGGAATTCAGATCTGTCTGCAATTTGGTGTAGTCTTGTTCCTTTAGTTAACTGAGTCACAAGTGGTTTAACAGGTTGTATGCATAGCATAAGTCACTCCTAATATGCCAAGTGTTAAGAAGTCTTGATATCTCTACCACATTGGCAGATGTTTCCCAGCCTCAGAGAATCTCCTGACTGCTGTGAATATTATTTGTTCTCCAGGGACTAATCATCTCCCAGACGCAGCCAGGCTTTGCTAGAAAGCACAGAGTCCTTCCATTTCTGGGAGGACAGTTATTCCTTGATTAACAGCAATGGATCTGTGTAGCAATGGGCAATCCAGCACTATAACATAAGACCCCACTCTTTTGTTATTGAATAATTTACTTCAAAGATAAGTAAAATGCCCCCTAGAATGGCAGAAGTGATGTATGGTTTGTAAAGTTGTTCCACGTTGGATAAAACTGCTAATTTGATCATGGCCCTACAGGACAGAGGACAGAGTACCTATAAGTAGCACTCCTTTTGGGGCATACAAAATTTAAAGTGGCTTTCTGATATTGTAATCTCATTAAGCACTAAGACTTGTGTGTCTTGCTGCTGTGTGGATGACATACCTTGAAGTTTGTTTGTTGCAGGCTATGAGATGGTGCCCTGAGCGCTGAAGTGAGGTGAGTACAGAACTGTGTGCTGAGAATTAAAAAAATAGTCATAAATTCTTTCATCTTGGTCTAGAAAAAATCTAAACTTACTAGTCTCAGTTTATTGTTGCCTAGATTAAATATATATATATTTAATCTTATATATGGACAGTAGCAGTGATGATTTATGACACTATGGAAGTTGGCTTGATTTCTAGTTTAAGATAGAGGTATGACTGACGTTTATATAACTCAGAAACACATGAATAATAGAGTGAACTTGTGAAGCACCTAAATAAATTGATTAAAATAAAGTGCTGTAATGCAAACTCTGAGGGAAGAAAAACTCCTTCCCTGATGATATCTGCCACTTAAAAGAATACCAGGATGTGTCTGTTATTGTTACATGACATCATATTTTTAAAACATAAATAAACAGCAATGGCTTTGGTTTTTAGGAATATTTGTCATGTGTTTAATTTTATAATCTTTATGTATATTCAAAATGGAAATTCTGTCAAACAAACTCCTAATGTATTCAGTAATGATTCTGAACAGTCATTGAGAAAAATGTAGTTTACATATTTTTTGTATGTCACAGCCTTACTAGTTCTTGAAACTATGTTTGTTATGCACCACCTATGTGCTTCAACTTGCTCTGTAATAAAACCTAGTGTATAGCTATATAATTGGGATGAGGAGCATCTTCAGAGGGGATGGAGGAGAAGCTGGAGATTTGAATATCATCACATTTCCCTAATTCTTTTGTGGAGCTTCATGTTGAAAACTTACTGTTTACTAAAAATCCTCTTGTCTTACTGCTAATGCAAGTTTATTCCGTAAGTCTGGTTTTAGACAAAGGCAACTATTTTTTGAATTGCAAAACCAAAAATGAATGGTAAAGAAAGCTAATTGAAAACAAATGTTGTCCTGCAGACTTAACACAAAATGGATGTGCTAATTGAAAAGGTTGGGGTTTTTTTTCCAGTGTTCCGAGATGGCTGTATCCATTTAAATACTCTGAGAAGCACATGGAGTTTTACACTGCTTTGCAGTAGGTCTCAGGTCAGGAGCTTGTGGTGTTTAGAATTCAGCTGTGTTTCATTTGAATATTTAGATGATCTGAGTAGGACCAGTTTACTTAAGTATACACTTTTCCCTAAATATACTTGTCATTGCATATGTTGCACAGTAGGACTGGGAAGTCTGCCCTCGGCAAAATTGTTACATGCCTTTTGCAGTGCTAGTTTTCTTTGTGGTCTAATATTGCCTCCTTTCTTCTTTTATGGAGTTTTAGCTCAAAACCAGTGTCTGTGAGCAGTTATAGCAAAAAATTAGTAGTACTTCGTAATGCTTTTTCATTCTTATGTTTTTTCATTAATAAATTGTCATGCAGGGGATTATTTCTTAGTGCCAAATTTATAATTCTAGAAACGAAGCATTCTCCATGCAAGAGCTATTTCCTTTCCAAGCTATATTTGCCTTCTAAACGTCGGCGAGCTATCTCAGGACTGCATTTTAAGGTCACTGATGTCTTTAAGCTCACTTTACAAGCCATTCTGCAGTCCTAAAGCAGCAATGATAAATGATGAAGGATAAACAGTTACTTCCTTTAGCACTTACTGTATTAACACTCACTCATATTAACAACATCCACATAAAATACTGAGAAGCATGGGAAAGTATAGTCCCCAGACTCCACATACTGGCTAAGAATTGAGTTCAGTGTTGATGCACTCAAGCAGCATGAGACTTGGAGAACAGTTGAGGTTGGAAGGGACCTCCCAAAGTTCCTGTGCAACCTCCATGCTTGGACTGAATTGCTGAGTTTTTTACTGAAGGTCTTCAGTTTGCAACTAATTTGCCAAACATTCAATTTAATTGTTTTGAAGCCTGGGTTGAAACTGGTGGTGTAATTTGAGTAATTTTTAAATTCTCCCCTCAGAAAATGAATTCTCTTAGGTAAATGCTAGCTTTTAGCCTTATTTCACTATAATTTTTTTTAATAATTCTAAATACAAGAAATGTGACAGCTGCCAAATTGTTATTTCTATGGCTGCTCCCATATTAGATAGTTACTCTAGAATAATAAGAAACTTGATGCACAGGAAGTTCCACCTGAATACGAGGAAGAACTTTACTGTGCAAGTGACTGCACACTGGAACAGATTGCCCAGAGAGGTCATGGATTGTCCTTCACTGGAGATGTTCAAGAGCCATCTGGACACAATCCTGTGCCATGTGCTCTAGGATGGCCCTGCCTGAGCAGAGAGGTTGGACAAGATTACCCACTGTGGTTCCTTCCAGCCTTACCCATTCTGTGATTCCACTTTATAGTTCTAACAGAATTCTTCATTTAAAAATTCATTCCATGTATTTATGGTATATAACTGCACTGCTGAATAGTTGTTCCTTATTTTTGGCTCAGTTCTCCAAAATTAATTGTGGGCAGCAATCTTGCTTTCTTTTCCCTAACTTTTGCTTTTTTTAAAATTTGCCTTTTACCTACATGTCTTGGGACTTATAACAGGTGATTTTTTTCCTCTGTATTTTACTTTTTAGGCAAAATTGCTTAGTAAGGAGCAGGGGTTTTTTTCTGCAGTGGGCAAGATTCTGGCATTGCTAGAATCTTATCTCTTAGTCAAGAATTTGTACCATTTGCAAAAGAGTGTTAATGCAACACCGTTTTCACCACACTCATGTAGATTAATCACTCACCTCTACATCAGATCTGTCTGTTCTGAACACATGGATGTTGTGTGCCTGTGTACATGCCATTGTAACAAACACTGATACTTGCAACCAAAGCTGCTATGTTTTGATCCTGTTAACCTGTCCTGGGAGTGTTAGATATGCAGAAAAATTTATAAACTGCCTCATATTTTTATTTTTTTAATGAAGATTAGGTACACAGCTAATATAATCAAAGTAGTAATGAGGAGACTGCTGAGCCTGTGGCTCTTGTGGGGTGCTGATCAGCTTTATTTGACTACTTTCTCTTGTAAATGGTGGGCTTTATTTTTAGCACAACAAATACTAGAAAAAGGTCATGATGAATACTGAATTTAGCAAAGTAGATGATCACTTTTTAAGTTTGAGAAGAGGGCTTTATTTTGTGTAACTATGTACAGGGAGAAGAAGTAGTTTCAATTGAAACCAAGTGACTGAAATCAACTGTCTGCTTTTAAAAGGCTGTAAGCTGGAAATAACCTTTTTTGGTATTTATTAAGCTGTCTTGAAT